CTCCTACAGGGGCTGGGGGATATCACTGAAAGGAGCCACTTTCCTGGCTTTGGCCCATTCCGCCTGCAAATGGAGGCCTGAAGGGACTGGGGCTTTCTTTCCACTGGGTTCAGGGCCTCAGGGGTCCACCATGGAACCATTAGGGACTCACAGTGCCTCTACAGAAGGCAGCGACCTGCACTTCACCATTCGCTTCAGCATCCCTGTGCACCTCTGGATGCTGAGGATTATGGGGTCCCTGGGAGTCTGATTTGTCCCTCCCTGCCCTGTGACTTACACGGCTGATAGGACACAGACCTATCACCCATGGACCTGGGTGTCCTCTCAACTGAGCAGGGAGAGGACAAAAGGAGAGTAGGAGGGACGTAGAAGAAGGCTCCAAGGCCTGGGACAGGACAGATTTTTAGGTCCTGGACCAGGGCTCCCTCCCCACAATCGCATCCCACCCAAGGATGACAGTACCAGCTTTGCAGGACACAAAGAAGGCCCCACCCAGATCCCTGTTTCTCAAGCTTCAGGGCACAGAGGAGGCCCCAGAAGCCATGACAGGCCTGGCCTGACTCAGGAGCTATGGCAGCTACAGTCACGGGAGTGGATTTAGGATCCTAGATTCGGGGTGCTAGTTCTAGGGCTCTCTTGCAGTCAGGTGGGGACACTCCAACCCAAGCTCCCTTGGCACCTGTGTCCACACTGCACAGGAAGCTGGAGACCCTTGACCTGTCCCACAACTGACTGGTACACGTGCCCTCCTTCCTGCCCCGGGGCCTGCAGCGGCTGGTGCTGCAGCACAACTTCATTGAGCGCATCCCAGGCTATGTGTTTGCACACATGAAGCCTGGCCCGGAGTTCCTGCACCTGTCCTACAACAAGCTTCGTGCTGACGGCATCCACGCCGCATCCTTCTGGGGCCTGCGCACCTCTCTGGCTCATCTGCTGCTGGACCACAACCAGCTACAGGCCATTCCACGCGGCCACCTGGGCCTCCAAGGCCTGCAGGTGCTGAACCTGAGCTACAAGAAGATCAGGTAGGGCCCCGCCTTCCCAGAGGCCTTTGGGAGAGAGCAGGCTGGAGTGGGACGATCATTCTCCTGCTCCCTAATCCATCTTTGTGTCCATCTCAATGGCTGTGCTGGGAGGTTCTGTTTACTGTCTTACCACTCCACTCACTGGGGGGGGCTCTCTGTGCCTCTTTTTGTGGGGTGCTTGCCCCTCCGTTCTGGGTACTTCTCTCCTGTTTCACCTTGTCACCCCCATCACAGACACGTGCCCCTGAATTCCATCTGTGACACACGCATGGCCCAAGACTCCAACCTCATCTCCACATACCTGGAGAACAATCTCACTGACTGGCTTCACATCCCACCCGCAGCCTTCTCCTGTATCTGGGCCTATCCTAGGGTGGTCCTAGAGCCCCAGCAAGGGGAGGAGGGCTCATAGCCCCGGCCCGCCTTCCCCAGGTGGGCGCCACTTGATCTTTCCACTGTAGGGAGAAAGATTTAGCAAACCCTGTTACATGGATATGCCCACCTCCCTCCAACCCATGGAGGCCCCTTTTGGTCGAGGAGGCCAGAGGTGGGGCAGCACTGGTTTGCACTTGAACACACTAAATACATCTTGTTCAAGTCACGGCTGCGTCCCTCCCTCCTGGGCATAAACGCAGGCCCGGGCTGCCCCTTGTCCTTCAGTCGTAGGCCACACCCTAGACACAGCCTGATCTGCAGGGCTCCGGAGGTGTGGCTCCTCAGCGCCGCAGGCAGCCCCTTGAGGTTGGTGTCCACTGCTCCCAACACCATCTGTATCCAAGCCCCTGCATCCAAGAAGCGCCTGCGTCCAGGGCTATGATGCGAACATGGGCTCAGCTAGCAGTGCAGGCTGCCGCCTGCCTCCTGTCTTAGAGCCACCAGCAGTTGGGGACTGCTGTGTGGGGGAGCGCCTTTGCCTCTCCCTCTCCCATCCTTCCAGGCCCCAGACCCCTCATTCTGCTCCCCAACACACACTCACCACCACCTCAGAGATGACAGCTAAGACGGGGGAGGCTGGATAATTTGCCCAGGGATCTAGGACTCGCCAGCTGGGCACTAGCTTAAAGAAAACGCTGCTCGCCAGGCGTGGTGGTGCACACCTGTAATCCCAGCACTCTGGGAGGCAGAGGCCGTAGGATCACAAAGTGGAGCCCAGCCTGTACCGCTTAGTGAGACCCCGTCTCAAAATGAAAAATAAAAGAGGCCCCGTGATGCAACTCAGTGCAAAGGCCCTAGCTTTGATCTCTACTACTCAAAACACAACAACAACAACAAAACGAATCCAGTTACTGGGGACAGAGCCATCGAACTATGCAAGGCTAGGCCTGGCCCTGGAGCTCCAGCCTGGTGACTGGAATTGCTGTCACCCTAAGCAAAGTCAGCTTGCAGTGTTGGCCACACTATGTGCTAAGAACGACAGGAAGGTGACAGCTCAGTAAGACTGTGGTGGGTGGGGACACTGAAGCCACTGAGACAACCACCTTCTCTGTGTGCAGGGAGCTAATGGAATGGGCTCAGTCAGGACGCTGGCTCAGCTTGCACACTCATGATGCCACGGCACCAGGTGCCAGGCAGGGTAGAAGTGGCAGGAGAGGGACCAGTCCCCACCTTCATGGGTGCGTAAGGAGGAAGGGTACAAAGATATCCACTGCAGAGACCTCATTGCCACCAGCTCTGGCTGGGCTGGACTGGGAGCTGGGTCTTGCCTTGATCCTGTCCCATAGCCCATCGCCCATCTCAGCTTAGGAAGAGCCAGACTGGGGGTGGGGGTAAGAAGCCTGGGAAGCTGGTGGAGTGTTTGCTTTGGACTCATCCTTGCATTCCTTCTCTCCTGGGGCCTGGCCCACAGATACGGTCCTTCCTGTTTGGGCTGGGTCAGAGGTCAGCAGCCCTGTTTTCCCAGAGCTCCCCACCCCCACCCAGCCACTTCAGCCCCTCCTGCAACAGCCTCCTGCTTTCTTCCAGTCGCTGTCCTCTTCGGAGCCCCAGAGTACAGATCTCCTAGACATGGCACGAGAAGAGGAGAGAGAAGAGCCCCTGGGGGGAGAGGTGGGCAGGAGGACAGGCATCACATGTGTGGTTCCCAGCTCCCTTCCACCTCTCAGACAGAAAGAGCTTAGCCTTGGTTTACCGTGGGAAAGCAGAGCCTCGGACAGGGCTCACCCTTCTGTGACTTCCCCTCCTTGGAGGCCAGATATCGGAATTGGGGAAATTTGCAGGGGGCTTTCGGGGTCCCCACCTGGCCAAAGGAGAAGAAGGGCTGCAGTCACATCAATGCACCCCACAGTTGAGCCTGAGTGGGGATGAGCAGGCCAGCCTGCATGTCCCCAGTTTGTCACTAGCAAAGGGGTATGACTGAAACAAAGATGCCCCCTTCATGTCAGGCAATTTCTAAAGACAGCCAGCTCTGGGCTGGGGGTGGGGGGATCCTGGCAGCCAGAGGCTGGGGGCTTCAGACCTGTGACAATGTCAGAGGGTGGGTGGGCAGCCAGCCACCTAGTCTACCAGCACTCCCAGGTGGAGCCCAGCCCAAGAACAACTATGGCTTCTGCCTTCCTGGTGGCTACAACCCCTTCATGTCTGCGCATAGCAGGTGGTCACTGTGCTCCTCTTCAGGACAGGGTGCCCAGCAAGTAACTCCAAAGGACTGGGCCTCTGAGCAGCCAGAGTGGAGATGACAGGGTAGAGGGGCCTGGGGTCAGATGGCAAAAAGGGAGGGACTCTGTCCCAGGCTGAGATGGGGTGCTGAGGTTAAGGGTTGGGACAGTGGGCACCAGTGCAGAAAGAGAAAGACAGGGAGCCCTGCGCTCCATCGAGCTGGACCTGTGTCCCCTGCGGGGAATTTCAGGGGGGCCTCGTACCCCTGCTCCTGGCCCCAGGTCTATAGCCCCCAAACCTCTCTGGCCTAGCCTTTCTCACATCTCATTCCCTCTAGCCTCAAGCAGCAGGTTCCAGCCACTATGCTTGTGGCACTGCCACCAAGATGGCACTCCAGGACAAACTGGGAGACACTGGACTATGGCAGGCACCCAGACCACAGGCTGGAGTCAAGGCTGGGACAGAGCCCAGGCCCAACCCCTCAGGCTCAGACCTCTGGGCCCACAGGCCACAGTGCTTCGGCCCAAGGGAAGGGACAAGGTGCCCGGTGCCCCAGGCCTCTCTCAGCTCCCAGGCTCGGAGGGCACAGCCTCGGGCCCTGTCCTGTGCTCTAGCCATGCCCACTCCATGCCTCTAAAGATAGCTAGACACAGGCCAGGCCTCCAGGAGCCCCCCTTGGGCCCTGAAATTACAGCCCTGGTGGCCTAAGGGGAGCGCTGCTGTGTGATTATGTCCCAGGGGACGGTCAAAAAAAGCTCTTGGCCTGAAGACAGCCAGCTTTCGCCCTTCATGCCTGGGGTGTTGCTGCTGGGAAGTTTCCAGGCAGGGAAGCTTGGCTCACCAGAACCACCTGTGCCACCTCTTGGGCATACTGGCCCCACCCCTGCACCCAGAGCATCACCAGGAGTGTCCCAGCCACTCAAGTGGTGGCAGGCTGCCCTCTGGAGTCCGTGGGTCTGGAGCTCACCTGCCTTGCTCAGCCACTAATGGTGGGGGCAGTGGGCAGGGGTGCAGGCAGTGGGCAGGACAGGAAGTGCAAGCAAGCTGGAATCTAGGGTACACTGAGCAGGCTCACATGCTCAGAGGTGTCCCTGGCTGGGCTTTGTCCTGGAGGCTGACGTGTGTTCCTGACTCATGGGAAAGATGCCTTGCTCTGGGCTGGCACCGTGCCTCCTCTGGAACCCTCCCTGCCCTTCGTCCAGGGCACCCTCGCCCAGCCTGGCTGGTTCTGTTCTGATTCCTCATGCTGATGGGAGCAGGCCTTCTGCCTGCCCACCTTGACCACTGCAGACCCTGCTGTTTCCAGGAATCCCCTCTGGCCCCTACATTGTCCAAATCAATGCAAAGGAGTCACACCAGGGTTGAAGAAACAGCTACTACCAGGGAGGCACAAGCATGGAACAGGACGGAGAGCGGGCAGGAGCCTGGCAGAGACCCCCAAAGCCCAGGCCTCGGGGGTCCTTCTTTCCAGGTCCCAGACACTCACAGGACAAGCAGCTGCCACCTCTGCACAACAGGCTACCTTCCAGGTTCCCTGGCCCTGCCCTCCCAAAGGCCAGCACTGTATGTTCAAAGGGACCAGGGGCTTCCCAGATTGTCCCCCATATGCCCCACTTCTCTCCCAGGCCTCTCCCCTCTAGCTTTGAAGCTAGGGTACAAACAGCTGCAAGCCAGCTGTGGGGGGATGGGCTGCAGCTTGTGCCGGGTCCTTCTCACATAGAGGCCAAAGGGGTGGCAGCTGGCTGAGCTCCCCTGCGCCTGGCTCCTTCCTCCTGGGCCCCTGCCTCTGCCTCCTCCCACCTCAGCCCCAGGCCCCTCTGCCTGCCTGGCCCTGCTCACCCCACAGTGCCTGCCCCAGGCTCAGCCTAGTCCGGTGCCTGGGAAGGACAGGTGTCCAGGGAAGGATAGCTTTCCCCAGAAGCCCAAGCCAACTGCCCAGAACTCCACTTACAGGTCTGAGGAGGGGCCAGGCTCCTTTCCAGGCCAAGCCCTTGGTGCCATCATACACTAGGAGGGGCTTTCCAGGGAAAGAGATGGGCAAGGAGGGGCAGGCCGGTGACATCCTGCAGCCCCCTGAAGAAGTGCCCAAGCCCAGGCTCTGGGCCCTGGCAGGGATGTCCCCAAGTCGCACAGGGGCTGACCGTGCTAAAGAGCTGCGCTCTGCACCCTCCCACACCACCCTCAAAGACAGCTGTGCCTTGCCTCCTCCTCAGGAGCCCTGGGGCCTCAGGAAACGGCTGCTCTTCCTTCCTGCCTCCCCCACCCTGCCTGTCCTCAGCCCGCCTCCTCCCAGCCCCTGGAGGCCAGAGGGCAGGAGCACCAGTATCTGCCATGGGACAGGACAGCTATTTCCCATGTCACTTTAGCAGGGACACTCGTTGTTCCTACACTGCAAAGAGAACTGAGGACTGGGTGGGGGAAGGGACGGCACAGGCAGGGCTGGAGGGGCTGAGGTGATGCCTGGCTGGTCTGGGAGTGGCCCCCAAATTAGAGGGCCAGGCCGAGTGACTCAGTGGGCTTATTGTAGACTGCAAACCACAGCCTCAAGGCCCTTCCAGGCCCCAAATTTGTATTTCCTGAAGCATCGCCCAGAGGTATACCCCAGCTTCAAGGAAGAGCTCCCGTCTGTCATGTGCTCTCACCACCTCGGAGGCCCCTCCAGGAACATGCCTATTCAGTAGGGGACTTGGGCATAGGCATGTTGGGCGGTGGACATGTCTTACATGACCCTTCTCTGATTTTTAAAAAATATAGTTCATCCATTTAAAATGTCCAGTTCAGCTGGTGGTGGTGTCACCCACCTATAATCCCAACCCTGAGGAGACTGAGGCAGGACTGACTTGAGTTTCAGGCCAGGCTGAGCTACATTGTGAGTTCAAGGTCAGCCTGAACTACATAACAAGACCCTACCTCAAAGAAATGTCCTCCTCAGTGATTTTTATGCAGCATATTCCTACTGAGGCAAGTAGGGCCGTGGTAGGGCCCACATCATGTCTGGTCCGGTCCTATGCACAGGCCACCTGTCTGAGTCTGTCTACATAAAGATTAAAACTCTTGGGGGTGCAGCCCTGGTCCCAAGCCCCATGTGGCAAAAATGAAATGTAACAAAAACACAGAGCACAGGAAGCAGACAGCAGCCGAGCTGACCACAGAGGCAGGCAACTCTCCCATCCAGGCAGGCCACGGCAACTTCTCGCCCTCCCACAAGAGGCAGAGCTCCCTGGCAGGCCAGTCATGGAAGGGACTGCTCTGGACACGGACCCTTCCACCCCCCACCCCATAACTGAGTGCCCTCCCTCCTATCCCCCCATCCTGGCTCCCAGTCCTTGGCTGCCCCTGGCCTACCCTCCACCTCTGCCCCTGCCGGCTTGGTCTGCTTGGGTCTAATCCTGTCTCTGCTCGCACTTCTTTTGCAGATCTCAGAGTCACCATTCCAGCATCCTTTGTCTGTGGAGCCCTGTGGCAGGGGAGAGACAGGATACAGGGAGGAAGTGTGGCTCTAGCAGCGAGGAGGCCAGCCACAGGCCAAGTTGGGCTCCCAGGGGGGGGGGCACAGCTTGGCAGGACAAACCAGTGAGCCCCTGAAAGTGAGCAGAAGAAGTGTCCCCTTGGGGATTAACATGGCCTGAGGGCCTGCAGGGACACTAAGAAGGGTAACTTATCCCTCCCACCCCGCCCCCCAGCTTTCTACCCCCTTAACCTCACGCTGATAGGCAAGCTGGGAGCCCCCAGGACCTATGGCGAACTCATGCCTGCCCAAGGCTGGCTCCCCACACACCATAGCCTTTGTCTACACCTCTGTCTATGGGACTGGGGTGGAGGGAAAGGCTGGGATGAAGGGAGGTTGCAGGACACTTCCCGAAACCCACAAGGCCTGGCCACCTCTCCAAGCCCAGGGAAACCAGCCCTCCTTGCAGCCCAGGCCTCTAGAGGTTCCAGACGGCTTAGGACAGAATCCAAAGGCCACCTCCCCCTCATCCCCCTTCCATTTGCTGCCCTCTCACTTTCCTCCTCCCGGCAGGGTGCCAGCAAGTCCCTCAGTGTTCCCACCTGGGCAGTGGAAAGTTGGACTCCCTGAGGCAGGGGTCCTTGCGCCAGTGAACGCTAGGGAGCCCGTGGGGGGGCGGGGACGTGAGGGGGAGGGGTGCAGCTAAGCCAGCCTTCTCCAAGAAAATTGCTCCCTTTGAAGCTGCGGGGGGAGGGGGCGGGAAGCCTGCCCCCTCCATGCTCCTCCTTCCCACTCCCTGCAGCAGTCCCTCCTTCCCCTGGCCTCCCTCCCCGCCCCTCCCCCATCTGTCCCCTCCCTCCTTGTCCCGCCCACCGCCCAGCCTTTAGCCTCCCTCCCACCGCCTCTTCTCCCTCTCGCCTCCAACTGCCCAGGAGCGAGCAACTGCTCCCAGCCGGCTCTGCCGACGCCAGACACAGCAGACACGCGGACAACCCCAAGCCCAGCAGCTGGCCTGCCTGCACCTGGCTGCTTCCCCCAGGTAGGGCCCAGCGCCAGCGCTGCACCATCCTGCTATCCTGCCCTCACCTCCGGCGGCCCTCAGTGTCATCCCTGGCAGCCTAGAGATGCCCGTGGTTCCACTGGCCCCAGCAGCTATGCTGCTCCCTCTCTGCCCACTCCCACCCCGGGGCTCCTGTGGGTTCCCAGGGCACCCATTGCAGGCTCCTGATCTGTGCCCCTTCATCGCCACCCTGTGGCCCCCTTGGTCCTTGCCCCATTTCTGTCACTCCTCCATGAGGTCTTCCGGGACCTTGCTCCAACCCCATTTCCAGGCTCCTTCTGACCTTAACTGTTCAGTTCTGGCCTTCTCTGCTCTCCCTGCCTCTGGGACAGGGTGGGAGTGGCTGCTGCCCAGAATGTCCCAGAGGCGTGTGTGTGGCTGGCCTCTGGCTACCTGGGGCCCAGGTCCTACCTAGGGCTCTGTGTTGTGGCTGTAAGGCCCTGTCTGGCCAGCCACCCATCAGAGCTTTGTGGTGGACCATGAGGCCTCAGGCGCCTGCAAGCTCAGCTCTGGCAACCCCTCACGGGCTAGGCTGGTCCTTGGCGTGGGCAGACTCGGTTCCCAGGAACCCTGCCCAGATAGTCCTCACTCACCCAGGGTAAACGCTGCCTCTGTTACCTCCTGGGTAGGGTTTGGGTCCCCAGAGCCCCGGCTGCAGGGACTCTCGGTGAGCTTATCTGGGTGCCACCACCCTGTCTGCCCCCTGAACTCTCTTAGATCAGGACTCAGGATGGGTGGGGTGGTGGTAGAAATCAGGCAGCGGTGCCATGTCTGGGGTCAGGCCTGGCATGGGGCCACGCGAGGAAAAGAGCAAGATGGCACAAAGCCATGTGGGTGTCTACTGAGCGCCCTGGAAGGCTGGACAATAGGACCACCACTTGCTGTCCCATGGGCAGGGCCAGGGCCATCCTCCCAGTGCAAAAAGCCCAGGACCCTGCAAGGCAAGGCCACAGATGGGGACAGCTTCTCAGGCAAGGCTGTTCTGCAGCAGGCTGAGGCCTTAGCTCAAGGGGCTCCTCTCTGCACCTCACCCCTCTCTGGCTCACCACCCTCTGCCCTATAAGGAACAATTGGATTTTGAGGAGCTAAGGATGCACCCCAGGGGCCAGGAAAGTTCCTCAAGGATCTGCATTCAGAGTGCAGGCAAGTGCGTCTGGGTTATGCCAGCTACCTGTGCCACCACATCCTATAAGAACTGCTGGGCAGGCAGGGACACCTGTGGGTGGCACGTGCCCACATATGGGTGTTGTGGGCAAGGCTGTGTAGCTGTACTGACAGACTCAGAGCTCCCTGCAGCCACTGGGCTGGACAGCTGGAGCATGCTCTGGGCCAGGGGGAGAGGGGTCTCTTGTGACCAATGACCTACTGGGCGTGGCAGCCTGGCATCCCTGGCTCACCTTCCAGCCCAAGGACCCAGATCACAGGGGGCATCAAATCACCACGGCTTCTGCACCCCGCCTAAAGAGATGGCCAGAGAGGAAGGGTGCCGGCTTCTGCGCATCCAGCAGGACATCTGGGCCTTCCAGAGGGATGTTTTCTGCCACATTTGCAAGGCCTCCTTTAGTGACATCCTGTAGTCTCTCAGGGCCGTAGAGTATCCCTCCCAGTGACAGTGTCAAATGCAGAAATTCATAACAAGGCTACAGCCGACAGTTTGCATGTGGCACCTTTGGAGAGGGCAGGACACCACCCTAGTCTCCCTGCTTCATGAGCCCGCCCCAGAGAGCCCACACAGCACAGGTGTGTCCCGTCACACAAGAGTCCCAGACCAGGGGCCTTTGGTGCACCACCTGCTGCAGTTCCGCCGCCCGCGCTCCCCTCAGCCGTTAGCGTGCCTGGCTGGCCCACCCACCGCAGCCCTCTCCCCTGCTCCTAGCTCTCAGGCCAGTCACCCCTGCCCAGTCCCATGGGCACCTTGGAGCCACAGCCAGCAAAGGGACCTCACTCACACCCTGGGCCCCTGGCCACAGGCCGAGGGCTGCAGGCCAGCCAAGCTGGGGTCCTTCTGGCCCTGGCTCTGCCCTTGCCCTGCTCCACTGCTCCACATGGGGCAGCCCACGTTTACCCCACCTCCATCCTCTTGTGCTCAGATACTGGCCTGGGGGTGCCAGGGCCACACCACACCTGGGCCACTTAGTGGTCCTGCAAATGTCCCCTCCAGGACTGCATACTGGGGGGTTGGACCCAGGGCCTTTCTACTGAGCTACGTTCCAGGCCTTCATGAGTTTTTTGTTTTCTGAGTCAGGCTTTGGCCAAGTTGACCCTCCTGGGCTGGAACTTGGGATCCTCCTGCCTCAGCCTCCCAAGTGCTGGCATGACAGGCGTGTGCCATCACTGAGGCTCCACAAATCTTACTGAGACCTATCAGGGCGAGGCCAAAGGGCTGCACCCATTGAGGGCAGTGGCGGTGCCACTCAGCCCGGCCCTTCTGTAGCTTTCCAAAAAGCACCAGCTTCCCGGGGGTCTTTGGGGGAAGGCGCAGGGTGTGTGGGGACACCGGCTCTGGGAAGTGGGGGCTGGGCTTTGTTCCCCTTCCTTTCCAGGCCTGGGGGGGGCAATCATTGAGTACCACCCGTGTTGGCTCTAGGCCCACTCCTGGGTGGCCATGGAGGGACCTTCGGAGCTGCACAGCTGGGCACAGGGTTCTGGCCACTCCCTGTGATGGCACGTCCTCCGGTATCAGGATCCAGGCTCTTGCAGGAGTCCTCGTGCTGCCTTCTGCTAGTCCACGACCCGGACTCCGGGGGGCCAACACCAGCAAAACTGGGCCTCTCAGCGCAAACTCTGCTGCTTCTCTCCCCGAAGCTGCCACCCAGCCCAGCCCAGACCTGCCTGGTCATCAGGGGCCAAGGCCTGGGTTGCCACAGGCTGAGGATTTTGTGAAGAGCCACACTGGAAGGTGAGGCAGAGGACAGACCCTGGGGCCACTTCCTCAGGGAGTCTGACTCTCCACTCAGCCTGATTGCCCTCCCGTGAGCTGGAAGGGCTTTCTGAAGAGGGCCCAGCTCCCAGCCTCCCTGCAGCCTTAACAGGGTTGGGTCTCATTCGGAGCAGAGCCTCTGGAAGAGAGCAGGGACCCTAGCCTTCCTCCCCTGGAGTGGGGCTCGACATGGCAGGGACTCGGGGAGACAGACAAATACAGGGGGCCCCCAGCTCTGCCACCATGGCTCCTGGGGCCTTGTCATCAATTGGTTCTGGGAGGTTTGATGAGTCCTAAAGCCATGAGAGCCAAACACACTTTTGGCTGGCGAGAGCAGCGAGTTACCAGGCAGCTGACACTGGCATGTGCTAGTTTGCACATCTAGTATCAAATAAATGGTGTGGACGTGGACCGGGACAGCTTTCGTGACAAAATGCACTTGAGCACCCCCACCTGGTGAGTTTCAAAGTAGTTGAATACCAAGGTACAACTGCATTTCCTTGCCATGTGGCAGTGGCCAAAAGTTTTGGAGAAACTTTCTAAGCCTCAGTTTACCCCTTCACCAAGTGTTACAAAGGTCAGGTCCTTCTTTTGGTCAACAGGAGAAAGGTAGCTAGATTAAAAAAAAATCACTCGTGTTTCTTGCTGCATCGCTGGGAGGTGAGAGCATCTTCTCCTTCCTCAAAGGCTTTTGTGTAGGGTGAGCAGGAGCCTAGTTTTCTTCAGTGAAGGAGGGCAGCTCTGCTGGCTCCTTTCCAGAGATTTCTTGGCAGAGTGGGGCAGGGGAGAGAAGGTGTTCCCTCGATGCACCCAGCCACCTTGACACCTCCCAGGTGCCAGCCCTTCACAACCTCTGTCTCGCAAGTGTCCTGCAGTGCAGCTCCTGGCTGTGCCCAGGAGTTCCAGGGCCACAGCAGAGAGGAGCTGGCCCAGCCCCCGCACTTGGGCATCTGCTCTGCATCACAAGGGCCACAGGCTCACAGGATGGCCCACGGCAGATGGGCGTGTCCCCGCGTGCCAGCACACTCACACGCACCGATGCGCTCGGCCTTTCAGAGGCCTATGAGCAGTGAAGCCCTCCTCTCTGCAGCCTGCAGGGATCCGGGGCAGGGGATGAGTGGGCTGCGGCCCACAAGTCAGGGTTCAGGTCAGGTTGCCCAGTGGGGCCAGACAGCCGGGGGCCTAGGCCGCAGAGACTGCACCCGGCGTCAGCTCCTTGGCAGCCACCAGCCACACATCTACAGGCATGTTCAAGGGCCAGCCAGACCTCAGGCCCTGCGCCCGCCGCCCTTGGCCTGGCCTGAATGCCTGGCACAGCCTCTCCATGTTCTCAGAGGCTGCCAGCACGTCTTGTTTGGCTGTGACCCGAAGCAATCCTGTGCCCGACACTGCGCTGGCTTTCAGAGGGAGACGAGGAGGGCGCCCCTGGAGGTGGTCCTTCCCTGCTCATTCCTGTGGTCCCTGTGCCAGCCTCACAGCTTGACCATTTCTTTCTTTTGCTCTGAGGAGTCTGCACCCAGGCAGCTCGGAGGGCACTTTGGTGGGGCTGCAGGACGTGCTCAAGGACTCCACTGAGGGGAAACTGAGGCCCAGAGGCCCCAGTGGGGGCGGGAGTGCTTGCCTGAGGAATCCATGTCTTCTCTGTGGGAGTGTAGACTCTGGGACACTGCCTTGGCTCAGCAGGCCACCATCACCCATGACACCTACTCTGGGAAGGACTTGGGCACATCTCAGGCCAAGGGAGCCGAGTGCTGGGAGAGCACACCCCCGTCTAGGCCTCAGTTGCCTTATCCCTGAAATGGGGATCCTGATTTTTCCTGGCTGCTTGAGCACTCTGGCTACGTTGGAGCCCTCTATGTCTGGTCTGCCCCCTCCCTCGTGGCATTCTGGGCATCGATCGTCGTGCCTGTTCTCTGAGGGAAAGGAGGGCTGTGCAGGAAGCAGCCCAGCCCCTACCATTCAGCCAAACCCTGCCCCACTCCATCTCAGGCCCTGATGGACAGGACCTCCAAACTCTGCCTCCCCCTTTCAGGGCATCTGACCTGAGGCTTCGGGCAAAGAGCAGGGCTCCACTCTGCACCCCTCTCTGGGACACCCCTCACTGTGACATCAGGCACAGCTGCTCAAGGGTCCCCAACACCAAGGCTGGCCCCTAGCACCTGTGTATCCTCCCCCAAGGGAGGGGTGGTTGCCCAACATGCTACCCACCTTGCTCCCCAGGGGCACCCTGTGGAGACCTGCAGGGCACTGTGCAGATCCAGAATTCTGGGATACTGGTGGGTTGATGGTTCCTCTGTCCCCAGACCTCGCCCACCCAGGTGGATGTGGGTGCCAACCTGACTCATGCCCTCTGAGGTGGCAGTGGGGGGCTGGCTCCTCCCTTTTTCCTGGTCCAGCCACCCTGTCATCCTCCTCCTCCCTCCCACTGTCCTGCTCCTCCCAGCCTCAATGTTCAGGTCCCAGCCCCTTGCCCACCCTGCCCTGGCCCGGAACCTGCAAACCAAGGGGAAGCAGAGAAACACCACTGAAGTAGGTGAGCAGGATGTGCCTCCCACTCTGCCAGTGGCCCAGCTCTGGCTGGGCCAGCCATGCAGGGTAGGTGCTGAGGTGTGATCAGGGCATCCCCAGGCTCCAAGGAGCAAGGGAGGCTGGGCACACTTCCAGCAGAGGGTGTCCTGTGACTCCAGGGGCTAGCACCCCATCCAGCTCCCCATGTAAAAGAGAAGCTGGGCCTGGGGTGGCTTGAATGTGCAGGACACACCTGGTACCAGGTGCACCAGGCAGCCGCAGACACCCAGGCGTGGAAGACCAGCAAGGCTGAGCTGTTGTCCCTGTTATAACAGATGGGGGATGAGGTTGGCACACAGCAGGGCCTTGGCCAGGGAGTCAAGGCCCAGAGCCTTTTCTGGTCAGGTGAGGTGCAGACCAACCCTGGGTGGGAGGCATCTCATGAAAGGGGAAGAAGAGGTGGCACACACAGCTTGCTGGGGCAGGCTCGAGCAGGGCAGCTTCTCCCCACTCACATCGCATCCCGCTGCTGGGCCTGGGTGTCTCAAGAGAAGCCCGACCCTGTCCTCCCACCCAGCAGCAACCTGCGCCACTCAGAGCTCCACAGGATGCCGGGAGTGGGCCCGCAGGAAGGCAGAGGCCACTGAGGAGGCCAAGATCCCCAGGACAGAGGGAAGCTACCTCTGCTGACAGCTGCCAGGGCCTCAGATGACATCCCTCTTCCCCCAGCCTGCTCCTGTGCTTTGGCCTCTGTGAGAAATGTGGGCATGGTGGAGGGGCTGGTTGCCCACCTTAGCCAATCAAAGTCTAACGGCCCCAAGCCTTCAACTCCAGGGAGGGAACAAGCTCGGTGGCCCAGAGGCCAGTGGCCGGGCGCGCCTCTCCTGCAGGCCGCTCTGCCCCTCTCCAGAGCAGGCTCCATGACCTGATGAACAGAGCAAGCCGCGCTCAGGAGAGGCATGGAGAGCTGCCTCCTGGCGGGCCAGTACACAAGCCCAGCCCTCCCACCTGACTCCGGCGGCCCCTGCACAAGGATGGAAATGCTGCGGGAAGGCGGGCTGTGAAGGGCTGACGACAGCCTCTTCTTGCCCTGGCCCCCAGGTTTGTGTACCATGCAGCCCCTGTGGCTCCTTGCAGCCCTGCTGGCACTGGGCCAGGCCCTGCCCTTTGAGCAAAAGGGCTTCTGGGACTTCACCCTGGATGATGGGCTGTTCATGAATGACGAGGAGGCTTCAGGTGTTGACAGCACCTCTGGCGCCCCAGACCTGGACTCCGTGACACCCACCTACAGCGCCATGTGTCCTTTTGGCTGCCACTGCCACCTGCGGGTTGTTCAGTGCTCGGACCTGGGTCAGTGTGTGGATGGCTAGGATACACGTCCATCCTGTGGGTGGGTGAGGGAGGGCAGTGTGGCTGCAAGCAGGGAAGACACAGGGGATTGCAGCAGAGTGCCTCTGTTGGTAGCACACCCCACGCACGTGTGGCCCCACCCTGCCACAGCAGTGCACCCCCAGGCTGGGGGCTGGTGCTCATGCTGCTCATGGCTTGGGCCCCCAGGTCTGAAGAATGTGCCTAAGGAGATTTCCCCAGACACCACCCTGCTGGACCTGCAAAACAACGACATCTCTGAGCTCCGCAAGGATGACTTCAAAGGCCTCCAGCACCTCTACGTAAGGCCTCTGCTGCCTCCTGATTTGAGGATTGGAGAGGGGTGGGGGGTTCCATGTGGGAGATGAGAAGGGTCCTGACACTGCTGAGCCAGGAGAGAAGGTGGGGCGTGGCAGTGGCTGGAGCTCTCAAGGTCACAGGTTCTGTGTGTGCAGGCAGGACAAGATCATTCAGGTCATAAAGCCAAGTGTGGTGACACACGCCTGTCATCGAAGCAGTAGGAGGCTGAGGCAGGAGGATCACTGCAAATTCAGCCACCCTGGACTATATAGTGAGCTCAAGGCTGGCCTAAAAACACAGTGAGACCTTGTCTCAAAAGCCAAAATGCTGGCTGGGGAGATGGCTCAACAGAATAAGCGCTTCCCTGGCAATCACAAGGGCCTGAGTTCAATCCCCAGTTCCACAAAAAAACAAAAGCCAAAATGCTGACTCAGCTCGAGCAGCTTCTCAGCAGAGTCCTCTCCTTACTGGTTGGTCCTCATAGCACATAGGAGCAGATTCACTGTAGCCAGTGTTCCTGGGGAAGACGGGCTGGGAGCAGCAACGGGCAGTGCTGGGCAGTGGTGGCCTTGCCGGGCTCGCACAAACCAACCTTGAGGACAGGCGCGCTCAGCTCAGCTGTCGTGGGCAGGGCAGAGAGCAGGGAAGGTCAAAGAAGAGGCCGGGATTGCTTCACTTGCCCGCTCCCCACAGGCCCTCGTCCTGGTGAACAACAAGATCTCCAAGATCCACGAAAAGGCCTTCAGTCCGCTGCGGAAGCTGCAGAAGCTGTACATCTCCAAGAACCACCTGGTGGAGATTCCGCCCAGCCTGCCCAGCTCCCTGGTGGAGCTGCGCATCCACGACAACCGCATCCGGAAAGTGCCCAAGGGCGTGTTCAGCGGGCTCCGGAACATGAACTGCATTGGTGATGTCCCCACCCTGTCCGCAAGCATGGGCCCGGAGGGGTCAGGGAGATGGGGTGCCCTCACACAGCACCCTGCACACTTGTGCCAGGGCTCAAAGAAAGGAGACTGGGGTGGCTTTATTGTGTTTTATTTTATCTTCTTGTACTCCTTGGGATTGAACCCAGGGTCTTTGCACTGAGCTACATGCCCACTCTTTTATTTTACTTCATTTAATTCTTTGAGACAATGTCTGGCTAAATTGCAGGGGCAAGGCTCAAATTTGGGATCTTCTTGCCTCAGCCTCCCACACAGCTGGGATTACAGCCTGGGGTGGCTTTAAAGGCTCAGCTCAAGAGTCTTGAAAACAGGTGAAAGATAGCTGGGTGTCTTTCTCAGTAAGTTCTCAACGTGGGCAGTCACTGTGCCCATGGGGGCGTGCCCGCTGACTGGGCCAGCAGACAGGAAAGGGAGGGGCCTGTGCTGATCAGTGGGGCCAGTGGCCTACAGCAGCCCCGTCTTCATCTCTGGATGTCCCTTTCCTTTGGATTCCCTGCCCCCACTGGCTGAGGCTAGGGCCAGGGCCAGGAGGAGGTGAGTGCAACAGCCACCAACCAGCAGGGCTGACTGGGCCTGTCTCCTAGAGATGGGCGGAAACCCCCTGGAGAACAGTGGCTTTGAACCTGGAGCCTTTGATGGCCTGAAGCTCAACTACCTTCGCATCTCCGAGGCCAAGCTCACCGGCATACCCAAAGGTAGGCAGCGCCCATCAGGGCCCTGCGCTCGCGCTGCCCCAGTTCCTCCTTCTCCTCGAGCACCCTCTCTGCCTGCAGATCTCCCTGAGACGCTCAATGAGCTCCATCTGGACCACAACAAAATCCAGGCTATTGAGCTAGAGGACCTGCTGCGCTACTCTAAGCTGTACAGGTGGGGAGCAGCGGGACAGCGCGGGCCCGCAGGCTTCCATCCTCCTGCTCCCAGCCTCTGAGGACTGTCATCACCCCATCCGCAGGCTGGGCCTGGGCCACAACCAGATCCGCATGATTGAGAATGGGAGTCTGAGTTTCCTGCCTACCCTGAGGGAGCTGCACTTGAACAACAACAAGCTGTCCCGGGTGCCTGCGGGGCTCCCCGACCTCAAGCTTCTGCAGGTGGGAATGGCAGGGAGGGCTGCTCAGGCCCCTCTGGGTTCCACTGCATCCCCACTGCCTCTCTCATAGTCCCTGGACCACGCCACCCTCCGTGCATGAGGTTGTCTGGGTGCTCCAGCTGTCGAGATGGACTTGGGCTCACCCAGCCCTGCTCAGGCCTTGCTCTCCTTCTGCCCCACTTACAATGGTAGCTACACTGTCGTCCTCACTAGCCACGCAGCCTTGCAGCTGCACAGCCACGCAGGGCCATGCTCAGCTCCTAGGGCAACGCCATGACCCACGCTGGGCCGAGTGCGCCCTCTGGTGGCTGGTCACCCCTCTGCGACCGGCAGGCCTCCCTTGGCCTCTACTGATCTTCCCCAAGAGAGCAGCTTCTCTGGTTAGGGGGTTACTGCTAGAGGCTGAACATCCCAAGGACCAAGAGGGACAGGAGGACATCCTGAAGGCTTTCTCCTCTGGTGCCCCATTGGGGAATACAGGTCAAGGGCCAGGGGTCCTCTGTGCGCCCAAGGCACCATCTTTCCTATGCCTACATCATTCCAGGAGTCAGCGGCACAGCACATGATGCCCCCACCCCACCTCCCCTCACTCCCCACCTGGGGTCCTCAGCCTGGTCCCTGGTCAGACACCACAGACCAAGTCCTGGCCAGTGCCTGCCCAGTGCCCAAGTCCCAGTTTCCACCTCCCAACCTATGGGACCCTCCTGTGTTGGCACCCACACCACCCACCTGGGCCCGAAGAAATGCAGAGGGCACGCTGAGGCCCTCCCAGTGTACCCTGGCCCTGTCTATCTGTCCCTAGGTGGTCTACCTGCACTCCAACAACATCACCAAAGTGGGCGTCAACGACTTCTGCCCCATGGGCTTCGGTGTCAAGCGGGCCTACTACAATGGCATCAGCCTGTTCCACAACCCTGTGCCCTACTGGGAGGTGCAGCCAGCCACCTTCCGCTGCGTCACTGACCGCCTGGCCATCCAGTTTGGCAACTACAAGAAGTAGAGGCAGCGGCAGCCACGGGGAACAGATCCCGCTGTCCTGGAGGGGGCTAAGTGAGGAGTGAAGTCCCCACTGGTGGTCCCCTGCCCTGAGTCCCTGCCTTCCCTGGATCCCAAGCATGCAGGTGGCTATAGGGCCTGGCCCTGTCACCTCTACCCTTGGCTCCAGAACCGCCCTGCTCATCCACTGTGGCCGCTCCTGAAAAAGCTTTCTTCTTGCTCACCCTGAAAGCCCAGCCCGAGGAAGCCAGCTCCTAGGTGTGCAGTGAGGGCATCAGTAGGGACGGACACAGGGAGCCCACATGGGCCTGTGTTCCTCCTCACCTGCTCCAGCCTCCAGCTTCCCCCAGCCTTCACCAAGCTCACTGCTTGTCTGTGGCAGCCACCTTGATTGCTGGCCTGGAACCAGCCCATCTCCCCGTCCCTCTCGCCTTCAGTCTGCCATGCTTCCTGATGTATTTCTCCCTTCGGGGCTCCACCACAACCTCCTCACTCCTGGACCTGATTTGTTCTCTCTCTCTCTCTCTCTCTCTCTCTCTCTCTCTCTCTCTCTCTC